ATTAGACTGTTCCGTTTCCGACAAAAATGAAATTTCTTTGTGTGCAACTAGCCTATTTGTTGCGAAATAGTCCAAAAAGAAAAACCAAGATGAAAACTGCACTAACTCATGGGATTGGGAGTGAGCTCAACGCGTGTGCAGCTCAAAACAAGGGAAAATTGCGATTTTTGACATTTTACTTACAATTTACTCGCTTTTTTGGTTTGTGGCGGTGAGAATGAACAAACACAACACAAATAAATAATACCCAATCGATATATTCAACCGATTAAAAGCCAATTGGAAACAAATGCAAACACATCTGTTTAAATCGGGTATGGAAGATCTTGTCGTCGAAACACATATCACTCCTGAGCTCGCCGAAGAAATGGTCACATTTTGTTTGGTCAATTTGGAAAAATCACATTGTCGCGACGATTACCGCGAATTTCTAGAGCTTGTTGTAATTTTTCTGGGTGGACAATTGCCAAAAGGAAATGAAGTGAAGAAGCCAGGTGCTATTTCCCACGCGAGATGGATGGCAAAAGGAATTGGTGCCCAAAAAATTTTTCTATTGAGAGACCAATTCGAATTCAAGGGAAATGAATACAATGGCATTCGAGACGTTTGCATATTCTTAGTACGCTTATATGTGAAAACCTGGTTTCAAGCTCCATCAGCAACGAAGGCTCCTCGAATTGACCTCGAATTCATCAAAGGTGGTATTGACTATGCTAGTATTGACAAAACAATTTCTGATTTAATTGTGTCCAAAATGAGCGGCCATCTTTGCTACTTGTCCAACGAAACAGTTGGAATGGCGTTCTTTGATGAAGAAATACCAATAGATGAAAAGAGACGAATGCTGTACGCATTGAGCAAGGAGCAGAAATCTCAAAAATTGTTGAAAGCAACAGAAGCAGATATAAAATCGACATTTAACAGCAAGCAAATTAATGATTTCGTTTCATTCAATACAAGAGAGGTTTTCAAACGTTTTGACGCACCAACTGACTTTCTTTCGCTTGATCCTGAGGAATGGAATGACGATGCAAGCTACAAAAAAGCAAAAGAAATATTCGAGCACGTTCACGTTGTAAACGATTCAGCTGAAAGGGCTGTTAAATTGTTCAGTCAATATAATTCGATTCTAAGCAAAGATGACAATGATAAACAGTTCATAATAAATGTTGTTCAAGAGTATAACACAATGTATCCATCCATCAACAAGGCTGATTTAGGTTAGGTAATGGTGAAAAACATGTTTTCATACGTATTTATAAAAAAAACTAATTAAAAATCCCTGTTGAGACAAAATAATTGATCAGAAACGCAAAAAAAGCTGAACATTCATAATTTTTCTTTAAAAAACTGTCTTTTTACAATAAAATTGAGGATATTTCAATATGAAATCGATTGGGTATTATTTATTTGTGTTGTGTTGTGTTTGTTCATTCTCACCGCCACAAACCAAAAAGTATGATAAAAGGTTTGGTCTTAGCGAGTAAATTGTAAGTAAAATGTCAAAAATCGCAATTTTCCCTTGTTTTGAGCTGCACACGCGTTGAGCTCACTCCCAATCCCATGAGTTAGTGCAGTTTTCATCTTGGTTTTTCTTTTTGGACTATTTCGCAACAAATAGGCTAGTTGCACACAAAGAAATTTCATTTTTGTCGGAAACGGAACAGTCTAATATGACACCCATAGAATGAAAGAACAACTTGTGAGTTCTTGTTCTATAACTGAGACGGAAAAAAACTTGGAGCAAAAAAAAAGAGACAAATAAAGTTGCGAGCAAAATTAAAAGAAGAACTACAAATAAGCTGAAGACACCTAATCGTTATCTATTTCCATCAGCGGGAAAAATGCAAAAAACGTCTTTTCCGCTCAATGCTGAGTTGCGACACTTTTGCTCGCAACTTTATTTGTCTCCTTTTTGCTCTAAGCATTTTTCCGTCTCAGTTATGGATGAATAGCTCATAAGTTGTTCTTTCATTCTATGGGTGTCATATATAATTTGTAATTATGCTTACCCCATCATGCACCATACTTTTGTATGCATGCTCTAGTTTTTTCTTCAAACGGAACGATTGTAATATATCAATTATGCCGATGAATAGTAGCAATCGTTCGCCTTTCTCATTGCGTGCTGGAATTCCGCCAGGTCTATCAAGCGTAGACAAAAATTATGACATTATTTATGTGAAAAATTAAATTATCAAATTGTTGTTGATGTTATTGCTGCCGCATTCGATTTTCATCGTGCTGCTCTGTTCATTTTTTATTGCTTATTTTGTATATAAATAAGAATGCGTGTCAGTGTTTACTTACGGTATAACATCGATCGGTCCACTGTGCGCCTGTATGTTTTCTATTGTAGTTGAATATTCGATCAGTCGCTGTCGATTGATTCTTTTGCTTCGGTTTAATGTTTTTGCCACCGCCACTACTGCGTTACCATGCCTTTCACCTTCCTCCTGATGACGTTCATGTGCTATGAATTGATCGGCTTTCGGCACATGCTCCAAATCGGATAAATCCTCCAAACCAGATTCATTCTCCAAATCCGATATATACACCAAATCGGATTCATCCTCTTTTGAAAGGGTACTTAGGTCGGAATTCACGTGCAGTGGTCGATTTGTTTTTTTCCTGTTTTTCTCTAATTGCTAAATCCAAATTATGTACACCAACCAGCAATGAGTAGTCGATAATTCCGAATGATTCTAGTACACGACAATCACGTTGTATCGCATTCATCAATGTATCGTACGTATCCGATTCGAGGAATATACCGTTCGGATGTTGTTCAATAAAATTTAAATCTTTGTATGTTGACGATGATTTGGCACGTTCTTCTGCATTGAGCTGAAATTTGAATCCAAATTTCAATTCAATTTTTCCAAATACAACTTCGTTTTTGCTGGGGTTTCGATGCACATTTTTCGACTAACTCACCTTTCGTTTGTATGTGGAACCCTTCAGATCGTATTTCTGGTGTATTTTTACGGATGATGGCAACAGATTGTTCATTACAACTAAACGGACATTCTTGCCATTGAATTGAAAACAATATAAGCCGAAGAATTTGGGAAGGAGTGTACGTGGATTTTGATTTAGATTCATGTAGTATCCGGGTAATAGTTTCCGTAAGAATTCACCCTCTTTGTGTTGTACCGTTTTGATGATGAACTCATCGTCAATGGTTAAGTAGAATATTGACCAGATGAACCAGTGTTTGGCAATTCTCGGAACGGTGCTGAACACAAAGACGTCTGAAATTCGATGAAAACGTTTGTTTTTTGTGTTTGTTTGCATTTATTACATTAATTAGTTCAACTATTCCGCGAATGCGAGTTAACAAAATTGTCAGTGATAATTATTTAAATGAATGAATGCATACCACAAAATCATCCGGTTGGATACCGAACATTCCACGAAAGTATCTGAATGCAGTGGGAGCATAGTTCTTAAAATTAAACCTAGCATAATGGTGTGCAGGTGTTAGCGATGAACCTTCCGGTGGGAATAATATGGTTTCGAAATTCCCAAAATCGTTCATCAACAGGTCTTCTTTTGGTTTCGATACTAAACTGCAAACCTACACCATTAAATGGATAGAATTTTTTTAAATAAATGAATCCCGAAAATGTGTAATTCAAAAACGGATCGTTGCGTTGTTCGCAAATTGATACATACACTATGTTGAATTCCTAGCTGAATGGATCCAATAATATGCGATGACTGAATTTTCTTGTATGTAGTCTCACCACCGTCACCAACTCTTCGGTGGCCTGATTTTTGATGACGATCGTATTTTTTGCACCTAAGATTGTGAACAAAGTGTTCATCTGCCGCAGTTTGATCACCATTTACCTGCACAATATTCCAAGCAAAAATGGATTCGTCCTATCCACCTAATAATATATGTTGACACAGAAATAGTTTTAATTTACCGTGGATCCGCCTCTCAAAACCGTAATCACAATCAAACAAACTAAACGGAGAGAAAATAAAACGAATTACATACGTAATCCAAACTTTTCCGCTCCGCAGCAATTTAGTTTACCTCCCGCTTAATGTTTAACCAAAATTTCAATGGACCCTTTTTTCATAGCGTTTTTGACCTTAAAATATAACTATTTCGACCATTTTCCATACAAAAGTGTCATTTTCGAACGAAATTTTAAAAAAATGTCGATTTCGGACCAAATTTATGGGCAATTAAGTGCTTGATTGTTGGACAAATCCCAATATTTTTACAAAAAAATATCAGTTTGGTTCGACCAAAACCATAAAAAATGGCTTTCTGTGTGATTTTTCATATAAAAGTCTATTTTTCGAGGAAAATTTCAAGAAATGTCGATTTTGGACCAAATTTATGGGCAAGTAGGTGTTCGGTTGTTCACAGACTCCCATTATTTTTGCAAAAAAACATCAGTTTGCCTTGATTGAAACCCCGAAAAATGCTTTTTTCGGGTACTTCCCGTACAAAAGTGTCATTTTTCAAGGTTTTTCAGGTCCTCAGTCGGAGGCTTATGGTACGAAATGGGTAAATCAGAATGGGCTCAAAATCAATCCGAAGCTTTGTCTCGACATGCCAAAACTTTTGGTTCTTACAGATCTCAATTATCTTGTCAACTTTTTGAGATAATCGGCGGACAAAAAGCTCGGACGCGAACGCGAACGACGCCATACGCACATCGCTATTTTGCACATATTTCATAGTAAACAACATGTTTTTGGGGGTAGATATATGGGGGGGCACACACTGTGTACATTTTCATTACAAAATTGTTACAGATATTGTACACATTCCTCATTGGGTAGGTCTTGATCGATAGGATTTGATCCCATCTATATTGCCTAGGGTACAGATATGTGCTTTTTCAAGTTTGGCGTGACGTTATAGTGGTCCGAAAGTGGAGATGTCATGAAATTTTGGCTAGTAAAACCAATACTTTACCTAACAAACCAAGTTTGCGGTAAAGTAATAATGTCATGTTCATGTAATTCATGTTTGAGATAACTGTTAATTTGATTTTCCCATCAAATTATTCATTCAAGCACTACATGGAATGTAGTTTCAATCGAAGTATACATTTCTGTATTTTATGAAAATTATTTTTATCAAAATCAATAATGTTCGACCCAGACAAAAAGTTCATTAGACAAATCTTTCACTAAATTGCCGTACTTTGAAAAAATTAAATATGTAAGAGAAACATTAAAAAATTTAGTTATTAATCATATGGATACATAAATAAATATTAATATATATTAATTAAATAAATTATGGTTTTATTAATTATATTATTTTGATTTTGGGAATGATAATGTGAACGTGGATTGTACATTATTTCACATTGAGAATAAAAATGATATGAATTTTTTTTTTTGAGTTATCGCAAACATGAATTACATGAACATGACATTATTATATTTTTGTAATTAGGCGTAATTGCTTTATTTCAAATTAGAAGTTTGTATAGAAAAAAGAATTAATTTTCGGTCCAAAAAAATGGCCTAAAGAGTCTTAAAAATTTCTTGGGAAAAAAAACAAATGCAATAGCCTATATTCCATGTATTCTACATTCCATGTAGTGCTAAAAATTCTACTCAATATCTATACCGTTAGTAATTTAGAACACATAAAACTTGAGGTGCTTTTTCTGACACAATGTTAAAATCGATAGTACAATAAAGCAGCAATATTGGTGTGGTTAAAGTTTCAAACAAACAAGTTTGCCTTGATTGAAACCCCGAAAAATGCTTTTTCACCACCAAACCACTATGATATTCGGAAAGCTCGTAAAAAATCCTGCCTATGTGTAGAACATTTTAACTTCATGAAACCCTCTCTTCTGCCCCAAATCGAAGTCAGCAGTTTGAAAAATCATGCTCCTGCAAGTATGCAACCATTTTAAACGGCTTCTAAGGCAACAACGCAGGTGCTGTGTGTTTCTAAAATGTAGCGCCTGGTCTCTAGTTTCTTTTGGCATATAACTTATATATCTTAAATGGCTCAAATTTGGCATTGAGGAGGCTAATATTAAAGAAAAAGGGTGAAAAAATCGCACAATCTCACCACAACTGCCCAAATCAAGGCACCGGACCTCATTTTTGGCCACAAACGATTGCATTTTCGAATTCTTCGTCGAAAATTAGCCTAAGAATGACCTGTTTAAAATTGAATTAAGACTTCAAATGATACTCATATTGATGCTGCAGATTAAAAAGTCCAACCACATGCTAACAGCTTATTTCAGTATATTTGGACACTCGATCTCCCGAGTTATATTTGAAGTAATGGCAAGGTTCAAAAAGTATCTTAGATTGACCATTCTAAGGCTAATTTTCGACGAAGAATTTGGGTCACCCTAACTCTTCATCAGGTGGGGAAGGTCATCCTAATTTTTTGGCTTTGCGAGTTTTTGGCCATAAGAAGTTTATACACCAAGTTTGAGCGAAATCGGAGAGGTCACTTGCAAATTTTGTCCCGCTTGGTGTGGAATGGTCGTCATCTAAATAACACCAAGCCGCAATTTCAAAAATGAATAGTAAATTTAAATGTAAACAGATTCATTTCGATAACACCACCAATCAAAATTAACCAAACACATCAACATTTTGTTCTTTCAATTCCATTGTATCATCAAAAAAGCAAAGTAGTTGAAAATTTGTAACCAACTGACTGTGTTATCACAAATAAACAGGGTTTAAATTTTCCCATCCGCTCGATAGAGCGTCCATCGATTCAATCGAAAGAGTTTTTCAAAAGAGACTCTTTCAAAAGAATCTTTTCGAAAATTCTCAATGTTCTGCTACAAATTACGGCTGTAAACTATTCAAATAATAGGTTTTGACTTATATTTAAATACTATAGAGAAAAAAAACTAAGAAAATTGATTTATTTTCAATTTTATTGAAATAATTGAATTCATTTGATGCATATTTTCACATCCAATTGGCTCGTCGCATCCGTGGCGAACGTGCTTGAATTGGTACCGTCAACAATTTCAAACAAAAATTTGAACAAGAATTTTGTGTGCTTGGTTCAAATTATGAGAAATGATAACACATCTTATTGGTACTGACACTTTCCTTTGGCATGATTGTGACGCGTTTGGCGTGGATGGCGCACACTCCAATCATACGTATTTCTTTTTTTTCTTCTGCACAATTTGCCATATTGTTTTTTCGTGCATTTCACACTTGAAATTACATAAACTAAGATTAGATTGGATTTGAATAGTTTTCAAATGCCGTTGAGTACATTATTATCGTCTTTAGCAATTTAGCCCTTATATAACATAAATACTAAAAAATCATTTATCACACAATAACTTGTAACAAAAAACTGTTGTACAAAAATGTGAAACAGCTTGAAATCGTAACATTTATTTCAAAGATTGGACAGAGTAGTTTTCATAAAAATTCGACAATTGCATTTAATTGAAGTTAAAAGTTCACTTTTTGCTGTTCTCCTTTAATTAAAATCCATGCCGATCCATTGTCTGATTTTTTCAATACATCCACGATATTTTTGGCACATTGGTCGACACTAAAAAGAATGGGAATAGATATGCGTTCAAACATTCACTTTTTCATTGAATTCATTCATCAATTAACTTACGTTTGAATTCCACGCTCATCAACTAATTTAGGGAGTATGTTCGCTCCACATTGTCCGAATAACTTTGAATCGGCGCCCTGTAATAAAGTAGTATCGGTTAATCCAGGACAAATAATGACGAATTTAATGCCAAGTTCGGATTCAAGCTCCTTTTCTGCAAGTGATCTGGTGAAACCGACAACTCCATGTTTGCTGGCAGAATAGACAGGAGCTCTGAAAAATGGAAATAGTCCAACCCTTGAGGACATATTAACGATTGTTCCGCCGCGTCCACCTTTCGAAATGCTCATATGATCGATTCCGACGAATGTCGCATAAATAACACCAAGCTGATGTGAATTCGAGAAAACAACGGACATTTTCAAATGATAAAATAAGTTTTTAAATTCATTTATGAATTTATAACAAATTATCTTTATAAAAAATAATACACGAAAGGTATAAATGGAAATATACCAGATTTATCTCGATAGTGTCGGTTGGTTTTGTTTCATTAAGAATTCCAGCGAAATTAGCCAATACATCAACGTGTCCAAATGATTTCACCACCTCTTTGAAGGCACTTTCAATTTCCGCCTGTTTGCGAACATCAACTTTATGGAATTGAATTGTTTTATCTGGACAACTGGACTTCAATTCGGCAATAGCCTCGGTCGGATCGGAAATGTCGAACACTGCAATATTCTACCGAGAAATGTGTCAATATATTTCGGTTTTGTGAACAATCGTGTAGCAATTCACCTCAACTCCATCGGATAAAAGTTCTTGAACGAATTTCAATCCAATACCACCCAATTTAGCACCACCAACCACAACACAATTTTGTTCCTTGAACGACATTTTATCAACCGAAAAAGTAACTTTGTTCACTATTTTCAACTAATTGACTGTATTCCCATGGTAAAACGTCTTTTATTGATCGTATGATGTATGGCAAATCTTGTTATAAATCATTAAGCGTTATCTTGCACGTTCCAAAAACAAGTACAGTTCGTATGTTTCATAAAAAAATTTCTTGGAACTTGGTTCCGTTGTCGATTTGATTAACCTTCAAACCGTAAATTGGGCACTGTGTGCCCAAAACCAACTTTGAATGCTAATATCTTAATTATTTCCTATCATAAATCGCCAATGGGATATTGCAACTTTTTTGACCAGAAAAAACGCCATCTTACGTCGTGGCCGTAAATTATTTTACTGTACATTTAGATGGTAGAGCTTGAACAAAAGTTCAACACTTTGCATAAACTTGGAAAGAGCTTGATAAACTTTATGAAATACATATATTTTATGGTCGCTGCAATAGCTTTATGTAAATCGCGCACTAGCTTACCACATATTCGCGTAAACATGTGTGATGCGCTGAAATGGGTGCCTCTTTGTCCATATACATTTTTCAACAAAGTGCGTATAAAAATTAATGTGGGGACTATGAAATAAACATCATTGGTAAGATCTTGAAAAGTACATGTAATTTGAATTATAAAACCTCAAAATCGATCATCATTTTATCAAAATATGGCCATTTTATCAATTTTGGTCAAAAAATTCCAACGGTCAAGTATTGGCCAAATGCCGGCCTATTTTGAAGTTTTATACCAAAAATGACATCTACTTTTCAAGACCTTTCTAGTGATATACATAACTTTTTGATCCAACTTGCCGTTCAAAATCTCAATTTCAGCGCCGTAGCCAGGCCGGCGCAATGGGTGCGTTGCACCCTCCAAAAATCTCAAAGGTGCAACAAAATCGGGTGCAAAATCGGGTTTCAAAGGTGCAACAAAAGAAAAATTTCGATTTTGCACCCTCCAATTTTTTTTTCTGGCTACGGCGTTGCTCAATTTTTTACGTCAAAATCGGCCATAGTTGAATCTGTATGTATATGTTTTTGCCTTCATTTTTGTGAAGAGATCAACATTGCAATCCCCACTTTATTGAAAAAATTCCAAAAAACTTGCTGTTATCTTTCATATTTCGATTTTTTACTTTTTTGCATGCCCATGTCGTGAGTAAAAGTATTGTAATCACTCCAAAACCTAGGTACCCCAAAAAACCATTTTTCTATCCATTTTCGACACCAAAAAGCACGATATAGTGGTTATTTTGCTATGTTAATGTGGGTGTGTCGTACCCTGTACGCTGTACGCTGAACGCAAAAATTTGTTAGCACGATTGCTCAAATACCAGAATAGGAAATGAAATTCTGCAAGTACCAAACGTTTGTGCTTCGTTAGACTTGAAAACAATTACATTTTCAGCCACCCCAGATGTACCCTAGGATACCTAGCCTATGAAAAACCTTCAAAAAATCGAACTTTTGTTCGGGAGGTACCCAAAATAGGCTCCCCAGGTTGATTTTATCACTCCCGCTCGATTTATTTCATCAAAATAATAGGGGCCCAGCAACAACCTAGCACCCTTTAACCTACATTTTTCGTATCAAATCTGTATAATAATTCAAAATTTCTTGCATTTTTTTGTTCTTAATTTTGTTAAAAATCGCGCTTTTGTATGAGAGTTTCAAATCAATCCATCGCTCATTCATGTGGTTCTATAGATTCGAAGGGCTGCCATATAAATACAATGTAAAAGAAAGACGCGTTATGATTCTGGTCAAGAAAAATGTGGTTATTTTAAGTTGTATTTTTTTCAACTCGTCATATTCTGTTCCAATTTTTTCAGTATTCGGACAACAATAAAGACAATCAGACGTTTTATTTCATTTGAATACCCAACATCAAGATTTTCGGAATCATAATACAATTTTCCATAAAATACATGAACGTACTGTTGTTTTTTTCTGAAAATTCTTATAAATTTCCTAGGCAAAATCTGAATAAAAGCTGAACGCTATGAAAACGGTGCGGAAAAGTTCGTCTTACGGAGGTAAGAATATTTATTATGACTTTCATCACATTTCAAATAATTTCCATTCTTTTGCGATCAATAAATACTGAAATATTTACATTCAAAAATAAAAATTCAAGAAAAAACTGACATTTCCCATTTTAAATGTATTATGGGCCTAAGCCCATATACCCAGGCACCGATTTCTCGAACAACGTTAGAAAATACATTTTACGGTTTGAAGGTTAATAAATTTCATTTTCAATTCGCATCTATTAATCGTTTGACAAAGTAATTTTCATACAAATTCGACAAATGCATTTAATTGGTTTTATAGTGATGTTAAAAGTTCACTTTCTGCTGATATCCATGCCGATCCATTATCTGATTTTTTCAATACATCCACGATATTTTTGGCACATTGGTCGACACTTAAAAGAATGGAGTAGATACGAATTCAAACATTCACTTTTTCATTGAATTCATTCATCAATTAACTTACGTTTAAATTCCATGCTCATCAATTAATTTAGGGAGTATGTACGTACCGTTGAATCGGCGCCCTGTAATAAAGTAGTATCGGTTAATCCAGGGCAAATAATGACGAATTTAATGCCAAGTTCGGATTCAAGCTCCTTTTCTGCAAGTGATCTGGTGAAACCGACAACTCCATGTTTGCTGGCAGAATAGACAGGAGCTCTGGAAAATGGAAATAGTCCAACCCTTGAGGACATATTAACGATTGTTCCGCCACGTCCACCCTTCGAAATGCTCATATGATCGATCTCGATGAATATCGCATAAATTCAAAATTAATAATTTTTATTGAAATCTTCAGCAGACTTGAATACGCGATTGTTGTATCCAATAATGACTTCGATCAACTGCGAATTCTTTTTTAACATTTCATTGATGTTTGATTTTGAAAGCCTTTGCTGTGAGATGAGCTCCAATTTTGTGAGGGCTGGCATACGGACTCGGAAGCAGTTACCTTTAATATCGCCATAGGGCTGGAATACACGAAGGCTTCGTAGATTTCGGCAAAATTTGAACACGTTGTATATATTGTCGCTCAGATCGCAATAATCCAAATGAAGCATTTCGATGTGTGGGAAGAAGTGATTGGCACCATCAAAGCTACCTTGTTGTAGTTGAAATCGTACCAGCGTCAAACTGCGTAATGAAGGGCAGTTCCGAATAATCAAGTCAAGAAGTCTAACGCCCGTCGTTGAAAACAACGATGAATCGATTCGCAAGCACAGAATGTTTTTGCCGAATGTCAACAACAGTTTTCGAATCTTGTGCAATGTCATCTTTTGTTGAGTTAAATCCACCGTTGTGTGCTCCTCCCCAAAAACCTGGCAAGCAATTTCTCTGAATTTTTTGCATGTATCATAAAGTGCCACCAAATCCAAACATGTTAGCTGCTTAAAAATCACAACCAAAGTATCATCTTTGATTTTCAGAATATTAGTCGCCAATGGCATGTTATGTGACTCATTCGATTCAGACGGTTGTGTCCAAGTGTCACCCGGATTCACTTCCATTTGTTGCTCACCAACATGATGCAATCTTTTGGTCAAGCAAGCGGTTGCACTACTCGTGGATTTGTACAAAATTGAACCGAAGATGTATCGTGATCGCTTATTGAACGAAAACTTTTCAATTTGACCAAAGGCTTTGAAGTGACTTTTCAACACACTATTCTTCACCTACAAACATAAAGCAATTTCTAATAAAATGTAGAGAAATGTGTTGCGTTTAAACACACAAATTTATTATGAATATTGGAATCAAACTAAGCTCATATGCAATGTGTTGTGAAGAAAAAAATAAAAACAATCGAATGAATATTCGGCAAAATGTGTGGTTCTTGAAGCAAAAAATAAAGAAGATATTGGAAAAAATTGGGATTTATATCATTTTGTCATTTTAAATACTATTCGTTGATAGTCGTTTTTGGCATATTTCGGGCGATTTTTTTTAGCACGAAAATATAATATGAATTTGTGATTTTTGAGAGTGTTTTAGACGATTTTGTCATTTTAAATAAACATTTTGTTAATAGACGTTTTTGGAGGGTTTTAGGCGTTTTTGTCAATTTTTTCAGAAAGCTCGTATTTAGACGATTTTGTTATTTTAAAACCCGATTTTGTTAAGAAAAAAATTGTCACATATTTAGATGATTTTGTCATTTTTAAAAAATTATTTTAGACGAATTTGTTAAAAAAAGGGACCATTTGCTTTAGACGAAATTGTCATTTTTTTTAGACGATTTTGTTTTATTTTTAGACGTTTTTGTAACCAGCCATTTTAATATTAAGAAATAATTTTTTTATACAACAGCTTGTTTGGCCCTATAACCAGCGGCCAAAGAGCAATACTCGAATTGATTTATCCCGACGACAACAAGATCTTTCGGCCCCGGAGAACAGCAACGCAACAACCAGACCTTACATCATGCGGTGTTTTTGCAATCGCCAACGTCACTTCGCTACTATTCGACTTAGATCCATGCCAACGTAAATTATGTTTTGAAATAGAAAATGAAGTGAACACAACGAAGCCACTTCGACAACACCTTGTCAACATTTTTGTCAGTGGAACAATTACTGTATTTCCAGATAAAAGTCAACCTTAACTTTTTATCGAAACAAACCAACAAACTAATGTTTATTGAAATGAAATTTCAAAAAAAATCGATTCTCATTAAATAAAGATTCAAATAATAATATTAAAACATAATCAATTTGGTTGTTTATTATTTGGATTGATTGTGAAACAGATCACTGAATATAGAGAGTATTTGGATCCCACTGCGAAAAAGTTCGTCTTACTACGGTAAGACCATTTATCGTTGGTGAAATACGTTGCGCAGCTGAAGACATCATTAAGTGATTTGGTAAATAATGATTTGATTGATGGATGGTCGAAAACATTTCGATCTACGTTAATTGAGCAAGACGAGAAAATATTTTTAAAAGGCTTCGAAATGTTGACAACTACGGGAATTCGTCCAATAGGAAAACAAAGTTTCAATGAAATTCGTCGCGATATTTTGCAAACACTCAACGATTTTCTTCAAACTCGGTTTCAAGTCGATGGAGATTTAATTAAAGTTGTCAAGCCATTTATTCGTTACGTTATAAACAAATCATTCATTAAACTCGTATTTCAGTTTGTGTTGCAATCAATGTCCATTCATTCAAAATGTTTAGTTATTAAGAGGACCTAATAAAAATGTTACTTTAATTTTTCTTCTACGGGCTACTCTAAAATTTTCTTATTTTACGCCATGGTTATCACGTTTATTTGTGTCATAAAGTTTAACTGTACAGTTGTGTGTATAAAAGACGTTTTACCATGAGAATACAGTCACTTGGTTGAAAATATTGAACAACGTTGCTTTATCTGTTGATTCAATGGAGTTCAAGGATCAAAAGTCTCACAAGTGCTTTGTAGAAGTAATGGTTGCACTGCATACCGTTGAATCGTAATAATCAATGCCAAGTTCAGATTTAAGCTTCATCTCTAAAAGTGATCTAGTAATACTGACAACTTTATGTTTGCTGTCACAATAGAGAAGACCCCAGAAGAATGGATCTAGTTCACAAATTGAGATCATATAAACTTGCTCTGCCACATCTACCTTTCAAACTTCCCATATGCTCTACTCCAATCTATGAAATCTATCAAAAATTAATAGTAAATTTAAATGTAAACAGATTCATTTTGATAACACCACCAATCAAAATTAACCAAACACATCAACATTTTATTCTTTCAATTCCATTGTATCATCAAAAAAGCAAAGTAGTTGAAAATTTGTAACCAACTGACTGTGTTATCACAAATAAACGGGGTTTAAATTTTCCCATCCGCTCGATAGAGCCTTCATCGATTCAATCGAAAGAGTTTTTCAAAAGAGACTCTTTCAAAAGAATCTTTTTGAAAATTCTAAATGTTCTGCTACAAATTACGGCTGTAAACTATTCAAATAATAGGTTTTGACTTATATTTTAATACTATAGAGAAAAAAAAACTAAGAAAATTGATTTATTTTCAATTTTATTGAAATAATTGAATTCATTTGATGCATATTTTGACATCCAATTGGCTCGTCGCATCTGTGGCGAACGTGCTTAAATTGATACCGTCAACAATTTCAAACAAAAATTTGAACAAGAAGTTTGTGTGCTTGGTTCAAATTATGAGAAATGATAACACATCTTATTGGTACTGACACTTTCCTTTGGCATGATTGTGACGCGTTTGGCGTGGATGGCGCACACTCCAATCTCTCTCGAATTATACGTATTTGTTTATTTTTTCTTCACAGTTTGCCATATTGTTTTTTCGTGCATTTCACACTTGAAATTACATAAACTAAGATTAGATTAGATTTGAATAGCTTTCAAATGCCGTTGAGTACATTATCATCGTCTTTAGCAATTTAGCCCTTATATAACATAAATACTAAAAAATCATTTATCACACAATAACTTGTAACAAAAAACTGTTGTACAAAAATGTGAAACAGCTTGAAATCGTAACATTTATTTCAAAGATTGGACAGAGTAGTTTTCATAAAAATTCGACAATTGCATTTAATTGAAGTTAAAAGTTCACTTTTTGCTGTTCTCCTTTACTTAAAATCCATGCCGATCCATTGTCTGATTTTTTCAATACATCCACGATATTTTTGGCACATTGGTCGACACTAAAAAGAATGGGAATAGATACGAATTCAAACATTCCACGTTTGAATTCCACGCTCATTAATTAATTTAGGGAGTATGTACGCTCCACATTGTCCGAAAAACTTTGAATCGGTGCCCTGTAACAAAGTAGTATCGGTTAATCCGGGACAAATAATGACGAATTTAATGCCAAGTTCGTATTCAAGCTCCTTTTCTGCAAGTGATCTGGTAAAACCGACAACTCCATGTTTGCTGGCAGAATAGACAGGACCTCTGGAAAATGGAAATAGTCCAGCCTTTGAGGACATATTAACGATTGTTCCACCGCGTCCACCTTTCGAAATGCTCATATGATCGATTCCGACGAATGTCGCATAAATAACACCAAGCTGATGTGAATTTGAGAAAACAACGGACATTTTCAAATGATAAAATACGTTTTTAAATTCATTTATGAATTTATAACAAATTATCTTTATAAAAAATAATACACAAAAGGTATAAATGGAAATATACCAGATTTATCTCGATAGTATCGGTTGGTTTTGTTTCATTAAAAATTCCAGCGAAATTAGCCAATACATCAACGTGTCCAAATGCTTTCACCACCTCTTTGAAGGCACTTTCAATTTCCGCCTGTTTGCGAACATCAACTTTATGGAATTGAATTGTTTTATCTGGACAATTGGACTTCAATTCGGCAATAGCCTCGGTCGGATCGGAAATGTCGAACACTGCAATATTCTACCGAGAAATGTATTAATATACTAATGGTTTTGTGGACAACCGCGTTGCAATTCACCTCAACTCCATTGGAAAACAGTTCTTGAACGAATTTTAAGCCAATACCACCCAATTTAGCACCACCAATCACAATAAAATTTTGTTCCTTGAACGACATTGTATCAACCAAAAAAGCAAAGTTGTTCAATATTTTCAACTGAGTGACTGTATTCTCATGGTAAAAGCTTCTTTTATATACGTTAATGACGTCCATGAGCGTACTGCGATGAAAGCCTATATAAACAATGTTATTATATTTGACAATATTTGAATCGATGTCAATGACGATGTGGCAGTGCCACCTTTAGAGATTCCTTATTGAAATAAGTGGAACTATTGAGTGCGTACACCATATCGCACGTAAATTTTCAACATGGCAGTGCCCATAGAATTGAAAAGTTAACCGATTTCGTAGTCACAAATTATCGCTGTACGTCCATGAGTTTAACCAGATAGAACAAAAAAACTCCGAAATTTCGCAACATACCTCTCATTTCGTCTGCACTGTAAGTTTTCGGAGGGGAATGAGTAATCTGGATACAGTGCGAAATAGCGGTTTCAACTGTTTTTGGATGAATTTACAATAATTTTTGGGGAAAATGTGTTGTTGCTTATGCTAAAGCTCAAGTGGCTACTATTCATATACGTGCCAATACATAGACACGCACTGGTCACCAAGTCTGTGCAATTGTATGTATTGTAAATTTTGCACACAGCAACTCGTTCAATACATACAAGTGCACAGATTTGGTGACCAGTGCGTGTCTATGTATTGACACGTATATGAATAGTAGCCACTTGAGCGTTCGCATAAGCAATAACACAATTTCCTCTAAAATTAGTGTAAATTCATCCAAAAACAGTTGAAACTGCTATTTCGCACTGTATCCAGATTACTCATTCCCCTCCGAAATTTTGGTGTGTGGTTTTTCCTCTTTCTTTCGCTGGTTTTTGATACAGTCTGATAAGACTATAGTTAATTTGTTTTTTAATACGTCCAAAGTTTTGATAAAATAATTTCGTGCCAGCTCATAGACCTATTAATGGGAAAGTTGAAAAAAAAAACATCGTAAGATTTAATTACGAATTTTAGAAAAAAAAAATTGACGATTTTCGGGAATATTTCATGATATATTTTGTTGGAATTCATTTCGATGTTCGTACTTATCATGGAGATTTTGATAATTTTCATGATGATATTTGGAAATGTTATGACATTTTTTTCATGAAAAATTATGTGCTAGCACTCATTTACCACACAAAGCACTTCGTTTATTTGGTTTTATTTTGCAGTATTTCTTCAATTTCAATAAGCTTAATTTAACGAAAACTTATGTTTCTTCATCTCTAGTATATCTTTATTAATGTAACTTTTAAAGAAGATACATTTACTGTTTTCAAAATCCATCCAAAAACCATTATAACCGTTATTTTACACTCAATCTAGGTTACTCATTACAACAACAAAACTTGCTGTGTATATTATTGTCAAACGAATTACTTTTGTTAGAGCGAAAGTAATATTGTGTACAGTGGACTCAGTTTATATGCTCTTAATATTGTGAATGTGGTCAATGTGTATATATCTCTCCCGTGGGCATAGCCCACATCTAATCTTGTAGCATCTACGGCATTTTACAATTGTCGATGGGCTAGAAAAAAAAGAATTAATGAACAGCATGTTCAAACTAAATTTTAGACTAATGAAATCGCTACCATGCTTGAGCGCTAGATCCTTGGCATTCAATCCATATCGATCAGCTAAATTGACGTCGGCGTCATTCTCAATAAGTATATCCACAGTTTTTTGTTGACCTAGATGAAAAAAAAAATTAATAGAAACTATTTGAATATTACTCATTGCACCAATATTCGGATGTTCACCATCAATCACTGCCCAATGAAGTGGAGTGCGGCCATCGTTATCAGTAAGATTAACTTCAGCTCCATGTTCAATGAGAAGTTTTACATTTACAATTCGACCTAAAGAGAAGAGTATGAAAATGGCTCAATAACATGAAATATTCAAGATTTTTTGTACGGTACTAGCTTAGTAACGTAATATTCTGTTATAAATTTTAAACCACTTTACTTGATTACATTTTCAATGCAATCAAAAGAATTTTAAAATCTTCTATTTACAACGAACGAGTTAAAAAATTTGTAAATTACTTCCGAGTGCAGCCATATGAAGTGCAGTCCATCCTTTTTTATCGCAGGCATCAACATCGGCGCCAGATTCAACGAGCAGTTTCAAAATTCGATCACAGCCTAAACAATGAAATTGTTGGTCAATCGTTTGACTATGTACCGAATTTTAAAAAGGAAATGAGTATTGAAAAGATACTCAAATTGTAGGTGAATACCCCAACTGGCAGCCTCTAGCAGAGCTGTCCGTCCCAAATCATTCTTCAAATTCAAATCGGCGCCACGTGCAATGAGCATTTTAACCGTTTCATCGAAGTCTGAGAGGAAATACAATGGGTTTAATTTCGTTAGTGATTCTACCAGCTTCAGAGGACACTACTTAATCGAGCAAAATGATGGAGTGGTGTCCATCGGTCTTGGTCAGTAACATTGATGTTCGCACCATTATCGATGAGTTTTTCTACAACTTCTCCAAAACCTGAGTTGATAAAATGGTACGATTGAGATGCTCTTTAGTTCAAAATTTAGATCAAGATGTAAATCAATAGCAAATCATTTACCCTGAATCGCAGAAATCTGAAGTGGAGTTTCTTCTTTCTCATTTTTGTCATTTACATCTGCACCGTTATCAACAAGCAGGTTTACAATCTCAACGCGAGCTGTAAGATTGGGAGGTGTTCTCACGATTTATACGGAAATTCTTGATTCATTTTTTATTGAAAGTTACCTTCCATTATAGCGACATGTTTTGGCTTTGTAGTTTCTTTAAATATGAACGTGCATTCATCATCTGTAACATATGAACATTGAGATTTTTTTTACTATTAGATCAATAAACGAATAAACAAAACAAAAAAGAATTTTCTACTTGAATTTTCACTCGCAATTTCACAATAGCTAATATTTATGCTTTCGGCATCACGTTTACCTCGCATACAAGCCAGATGTAAGGGCGTTTCTTGTGTTTTGTTCTTTGAATTCACATCGGCTCCGCAGTCAATCAAAATTTTCACAATCGCAACATAAGCTAACCGGAATAAGAACAGAATATTTATTAAAAAAGATTCTATTTTTTCATCTTCTATCATTCAGGTTCTCAGCGAAACCATATGTATACAGCCGATGCCGAATCTGGGCACGTGCAAGTCGTGCATTTTCACGGAGCGGCACAACGTTGATTCGGAAAACTCAATACATTGGGGCGGAAAATTGAGAATTTTCACAAGGCGGCACTGCTTTCGAAGAAGTTCCAGATCCGACACCGTATACGGCAATTACAATTAGCCAACACTAGCCTTTCTGATCATGAAAATAGTAAACAATACAGCGGCACCTGGGGACTAAGTGCAATGTGTCATACTTTCAACGTTCGAACTAACACAGACGCATTAACACAGACGCGTACTTGTTATAGCAAACTATGTGCATGATTCTCTATTTCTCCAACCAGTCTCCAGGTGCCGCTTTATTTTCCTTGTTTGACGTTTCCTATCTGTTTGTACAGACGATCAGAGAGGCTGGCCAATACATGTGATTCGTGTTCGCGTTCGTGTGTCAACAACACATCGAACCGAACTGTATTTTACCTTTGCTGGCAATATGCAGGGCAGTCTCTTCGTGTTTGTTCCTCACATCGATATCCATGTCGTGCTCTTGTAGAAATTCCCTAACTTTTTCTTTTTCTGTACGAAAGACGCGAACAATTTTGAAAAAGTTAAATCGAATTCGTATCACTATAGCAATGTGAAATATAATAATATTTCACACAAATTCTCTAATTGCCTTATCAATGCGATTCGCTTCGACATTTTTTTCTGAATAATAAATCACAAACTGGTTTTTTAAAATAAAAAAAGCTGCGAATCTATGATCGCCAGTCTTTGTTAACTCACCAACATTAAATGTGTCATTTAATTTCGATTCGAAGAATGCAGTGAGCGATCCATCACGATGTCTAGTCAAGAAAGTTAGCAGCTAATTAGGACAAATTTAGATGAAAATGAAACGATTTTTTCTTTGTTGTGATCAATTGATTAGAATCGATATTAATTTTAAATTCTCTTGACTGATTGCTTATGCTTATTCAACATCTTACGAATGCACGATTTTGAGTATTACTTTTCCGTACACAACGTGTCAAGGGAAAGTATAGGAATTGGTCCCGAAAACTTTTTTTTCGCAAAATTAGCTTAGATCATCATAAAAACTCATGAAACGCGTAGAAAAACACTTTTTGAGACACTTTTCCGTTCGTGTGCCGTCGTTGTCGTCATTGTCGTCGTTGGTGTTTGTTGACACGATAACTCAAAAAATAATTGAGATAGTCAAAATCTGGAATTGCCAAAAGTTTTGTATTCGAAAAACTTAGTTTGAGATTTTAGATAAATCCTCGAAAATTTAGTCTATAAGAAGCCAATAACATTGACGTGATATTTCATGAAACACTCGCATAAGCATTGAATGTTTCGAACATTCGATTATAATAATAACAACTCACATAATTCGATTACTCGGCCGATTCGCTTGAACTCATCAAAACTTTGCTATTGATAAAAAAAAAATCGATTTTTCCCTTAAGTTTGCATAAATTTGAGCAACATCTGATCAATGGTTAAGAATCAGTATAAATCAGTACGCAGGTCTAAAAATCTGTATAAATACTGAATTCAGTATACTGATTTTTCTGTCCGAAAATTGGCCAAAAATCAGTATGATACTGAAAAAATCAGTATGGTTGGTAGCATTATACTATCGAGATAAATCTGGTATATTTCCATTTATACCTTTCGTGTATTATTTTTTATAATATATATGTCTGTTGTTTTCTCGAATTCACATCAGCTTGGTGTTATGTGAGAGGTCGAACAAAGATCAAAGATACAAAGAGAAATGAGACGCAAGACTTTCGGTTGTCAAAGCACAACTAACAACCTGTTACATTTATTCTTCTTCTTATATACTAAGTACAATGAGGAAGGAAAAGAAACTTGCAATGTTGAATAAACAATACGGAAATACTTATGACTCCGAAGAAACATTGGATTCGCTGACTATGACTAACAACATGTTATTTATGCGATATTCATCGAGATCTCGATCATATGAGCATTTCGAAGGGTGGGCGCGGCGGAACAATCGTTTATAAGGCTTACAAAAATATTTACGAAAAACCTTCAAAATATTTATTTAATATTTACGATAAAACCATGGAAATATTTACGTAAATATTTATGAAAAATGTCCGAAATATTTACAAAAAGGCTAAAAATCGCCAAAATATTTACGAAATTTTTTCAATAAGATAAAAAATTGAAAATAAAAAAAAAAATATTTTATGGACCAAAAATTTGGAGTCAAAATTGTTTGTTCTTCCGGAAAATATATGACAATTTTCACATAAAAATCGCAAAACCCTCAAAACATTGAAGAAAAATTCCAAAAATCCTGAATTATTTAAAAATAAATATAATATTTATTTAAAACGAAATCGTCAAAAATATTTAAATAAATAATTTATATTTAAATAAATATTTTTGTTAGCCTTAATCGTTAATATGTCCTCAATCTCTGGACTATTTCCATTTTCCAGAGCTCCTGTCTATTCTGCCGGCAAACATGGAGTTGTCGGTTTCACCAGATCACTTGCAGAAAAGGAGCTTGAATCCAAACTTTGCATTAAATTCGTCATTATTTGTCCCGGATTTACCGATACTACTTCGTTACAGGGCGCCGATTCAAAGTTATTTGGACAATATGGAGCGTACATACTCCCTAAATTAATTGATGAGCATGGAATTCAAACGTAAGTTAATTGATGAATGAATTCAATGAAAAAGT